AATTAAAAAAAATAATACATAAAATTTATATATTAATAGATGTTAACTGTTTTTGCAATATTATTTTCCTAATTTTTAAGAGGCCAAATTAATTTCCATTTTTCTATAAAGAATCCACTAAACTTCAATTCCTATGGAAGGGCTTTATCTTGTGGAGTTTCTATAGTTAGTTGAGAAGCCAATTTAGGGAAAACCAAAATCCAACTTTCCATCAAACCAACCCAGCAAAACGAAATGAAGGAAAAAAAATAACACAGATTCCCAAAGTCATAAAAAAAAAAGAAAAAAAAGAGTCCCATTAACGACAACTTGACCTCCCACCGTCACAAAATACTATTACTACTAAAGGCTAAAGCACTTAAGTACACCCAACTACCGTAGATCATCCATGTGGAACCACCATCATCTCCCACGTGTCACTCTACATGGCCCACTACCTCACCAAACCAAAACCTACGGCGTCCACTGTCAAAGTTGGTAAGGGAAAGACATGCACACCCTCCTCTCTCTTTAGCTTCGGAGGGAACACACAGCATGCAGAAACTCAAGCATGGTATATCTGTGGTTTCCATTTTTGACCCCAAGAGTCTGTTCAATTCACTTCTCTCTGCCCCTCTGGCAGCGTTTCTTGCTTCCCTAATTCATGGACGCATCTGACGTGGACGCAGTGCTCAACTTCTTGAGGAGGAATGGATTGACGGAGGCGGAGACAGCTCTAAAAGAGGACATGGTGGAGAGGAGTCAAGTCGGTGCTTTTGATTTCGAGAGTTTCGTCTTTCCCTTGCCGCCGCCGGTAAGGATTCCGTCTATTCTCCGGCGATCGGTGAGCGAGGAGAGAGGGAAACCGAGTAGTGGGTTTGATTCCGATGGCGATGAAGATGATGACTTTGTGAGCTTAGGTTCTTCTGTGACCGCTAGTGACCACCGTTCTTCTGGTATTTTTAGTTTTCTGTATTGTTTATAGGAACTTGTTTGTTTTTGAATTCTGTTTGTTTTTGCTGATGTTCCAAAATTCGATTCCAATTCTGCTGCTTTTTATATAAAATACATAAATCTGCTCACTTTTATAACCCTCTTGGCATTTCCTTGATATGGTCTCCCTTTAACTTTACCTGGTTAAATTGAGTCAATTTTCAGAACTGTCTCTTCTAATCCATGTTTTGTTCGTTGTCATATCTATGGAAAAATCCTCATTTCATCCCCAGATTTGGATTTCTAGATAGGCTGTTAGCTAGGATGTTTGCATAAGCTGATAAGGCATGAGAGTAGTCCAACTGGTTTAATTTTCCTCTTCTGCAGAATTTGTGAATCCATATGGACTTCATTCTGCATCTCTGGCTAATTCAGATACTTCATCCGATAGATTGTCTCAATTTGGCACGGCTCGTGAGTACCTCCAGAATGACCATTATTGGTATGAAGAGAAAGATGAAGATGACTTTTTGACTCCTTGCTTTGATGGGTCAGATTTCTTTGGCCGCCCAAGTGAGGATAAGTTTGTCACAACTTCAGAACAAGAGAAGCATTTTGATAATCTACTGAGTTTAAATCACAAATCCGAAGCGTTTCCAGCTGAAGCATGTATTGCATACTTGGATAAGCCATGTGTTTTCAAAATGGCCACCATAAATGGTGAAAGTTATCTGCAAGTTCTGGATTCTCATTATTATGATAAAAGTAGCTTACTTGATAGGGGAATTGAAAAAGAGATGAGGAGTTGTTCAGATTATGGGTGTTCACTCCACCTTGATGGATGCGGTGAGGGAGCAGGTGGGTTTTGTGATCAGGATCCAGTGAACTTCAGCTATGTCAGCTCTAAAGAAACTTGTTTGGATGATCTTCATTTAAACTCTGGTCTTAATTCTCACTCGGTTGAAAAGGGTTCCGAATATGAATGTGTTGAAGAGTTTAAAGCTGGTTCTGATTTTCCTCGTAAAAATGCTGAGGCAGATTTCTTGACGAATATAGTTACTAGTTATGGAGTTGAAGATACTAAAGAAAATAGAAAACTTGATGAACCTAAGGCTGCTGCAAATGAAGAGGTTAATGATGATGATGAGCTTGCAATGTACAACACTAAAGAGGATGAATATGAAGTTTTCAATTTGCGAATATATCACAGGAAAAACAGGTTTGTTATGTGTAACTGAGCGGCCTGATGTTCTTCTACCATATTTCATTATGTTCAGCTAGCTAGTCTAGAATTTAGAGTAGTTGAGAAATATGTATAAGGGGGGTGTGCAGGCTGACTTACCTTAAATAGGAGTTTGAACCATTTATCTGGGTCTTGTATTCATTGAAATTTTATGCTGAAAGTTTTCTTTCTTGTTGGTGATTCAAAGCTGTTGTGTTTCTGGTTTACTCATAGCAGTCAGACATACTTATGTGCTATGCCATCTGCAGGACCGGATTTGAAGAAAACAAAGAGTTTGCTATCATGCTAAACACTGTCATTGCAAGCAGATACTTTGTTACGGAATACCTTGGTTCAGCTGCTTTCAGCAAGGTTGTTCAGGCACAGGATCTCCATACTGGAATGGATGTTTGCCTGAAGATCATTAAAAATGATAAAGACTTCTTTGACCAGAGTTTGGATGAGATTAAACTTTTAAAGCTAGTAAACAAGCATGACCCTGCTGACGAACACCACATTTTGCGCCTTTATGACTACTTCTATTATCAGGTATGTTTAAGGAGTATGGAAGGATGAGATTCAGAATGTTTTGGTTATCGGTTACTTTGTTTTTCATGTGGTCACACCAATGATATCACTTTGTAAAATCTTTGCAGGAGCACCTGTTCATTGTGTGTGAACTCCTTAGAGCAAACTTGTATGAATTTCAGAAATTTAATCAAGAATCTGGTGGAGAAGCCTACTTTACCCTAAGCAGGTTGCAGGTTTGTTCAATTTAGCTGTTGCCAAAGTTGCATACTTCCTTTGAATTCATATTCTCTGTTTTATCTTTCTCTGCAGTTCCTTGTGTTTTTGTTAGCTTTTAACTGTGATCTGAGTTCTTTATGAGCGGTTGTAATTGACATTGTCTTTTTAATTGAACACAACTAGAAGGCAACATGGTTAAAGGTGGTTTAATTTGCTTGTTCATTTCTGCAGATCATAACCCGTCAGTGTTTGGAGGCACTGGATTACTTGCATGACTTGGGAATTGTTCACTGTGATCTAAAGCCTGAGAATATTCTCATCAAAAGTTATAGAAGGTGCGAGATAAAGATTATTGATCTCGGAAGCAGTTGCTTTCAGACTGACAATCTGTGCCTGTATGTGCAATCTCGCTCTTATAGAGCCCCAGAGGTTATCCTTGGCCTTCCTTATGACCAAAAGATTGATTTGTGGTCTCTTGGGTGTATACTAGCTGAACTCTACTCTGGTGAAGTATGTCTTAGTTTGGCACTGTCCTCAATTAATGTTGTTCTGTCAAAGAGAATTGATGACTTAAAACTAATTATTAGCATATGTCTTCTGCAGGTGCTGTTTCCAAATGATGCTGTAGTGATGATCCTTGCACGCATGATTGGGTTGCTGGGTCCTATCGATCAAGAGATGTTGGTAAAGGGGCAGGAGACACACAAGTACTTCACCGAAGAATATGATTTATACTACTTAAATGAGGTTTGTCAACCAAAGTCTTTCATTCGGATATATTATGTAGCTTTCCCTTTCCCTTTTTAGATTAATTAGTCTCAAAGAACACCAGAGTTGAAAAAGATTCCTTTCCGTAGTATTGTTCAAAGTTCATTAAATTCTGGAGTACCAGCATCATCTAACTTATTCTTGGAGAAACCCCTCCATGATTAATACTGAAAACTGATTGACGTATCAGCCCTTCCTTATGAACAGGAGACAAACCAGCTAGAATGCCTAATACCTGAGGAGTCCTCCCTAGAGCATCACCTGCAAGTTTCCGATGCCGGGTTTATTGACTTCATTAGACATTTGCTCGAGATCAATCCGCAGAGACGTCCAACAGCAAGGAAGGCATTGCAACATCCATGGCTTTCACACCCTTACTAGCCCCAGTCTCCCTGAATTGCAGGAGGGATGGCCACCTCTGTGAGTATGTTGTCTCCGTTTCACTATGTCATTTGAGCACAGCAATGGGAATGCAACTTCCACTTTCAGTTTTGGTTTTTTGTGGTGCATGTTTCTTCTTCATTCATGATGCGTATTTATCAACACATTTGATTGTACAAAAAACTTCTTTCATCTGTCTACTAGGCGAGGCGCGAGGGTTTGTAAATTTGAGAGTTCTTTGAGTCAGCTGACTCAAACATGAGTTCTGTCTTTGAGTCAGCTGACACAAACATACAAACAATAAATAATTAATTCATTGATTGAGTTTTTTTTTTTCTTTTCTTTTTGGTAAAGTAATCTCATATAGCTGCATTTTTCTGCTGAAGACGGAATGTCAACATTTCTTTGAGCAAATAAACATGAGATGACATATAGTTGGGCTACGGGACGGTTATAGCCACCAAAACTATAAAATAATTTTTAAATTTATTGATTTTATTTAATTTAATTAATAAAATTAATTAATAACTAATTGATAAAATAATTACTATTTGTTAATTAATAAATTAAAATTAGTTAATAAATTGGTATTTTCATATATTATTAAAAAATCCAAAATTTTGCCGATTTTAATCATATTAACTAGTTTTTGTTTTGCCTCGCGCGTTGTACGGGGTTTTTTTTTATATTAGAGTTTAAATGTTTTACTATTTTTTATCAACTCTTGAGTTTTACAATGATTTTTAATTAAAATTTTTTTAATTAAGTAATTAAAGTTGAGTTAAAATTTGTGTTTAGTAATTAATAGGAGTATTTTTTTAGAAAAATTGTATATAATCACATTAAAAAAATATTAAGAGAATTTAAAAAAACACTTAATTTTAATTCTTATATCATATATTTGTTTTTTTTCTCTACTATTATTCTATTTAAAAATTTAGATAATATTTTTTCTTTTTTCAATAAAAAAACTATAATATAGTTAAACAGAATTAAATA